TCGAAATAAAAATGAAACTTCTACACTGTATCTCACGAAACTAAGCATTTTAGGACATACATTAATACGAACTTTTTTACTTATTTTTATCCACAGAATATGATGCCAAAGTTCCCGGAATACAATTCGGATCACCCTGTATATGTAAAAATGCTTATTTTTTCCAAAATTACTGATAATAATTGAAGGAGTGGCTGCAATAACCAGGTTCCACTTTTTTTTTTGAAAATGAGATTTTTAATGCCCTTTTATAAAATTGGCCGATCGTTTCCTGCAACAATCAATTCTTCTGCATGTAAAATTGGTAGGTGGTTGGAATAAACATTGTTATTTTTTGTTATTATATTATAAAAATTTATTTATTTTTATGTATAAATAAATATGTTTATTATAAAACAGTACAATTTTTGCTTTTTTTATAATTTCCCTTAAAATAGTAGTATTCTTTCGTAAAAGAAATTGAAAATTTTCACTTTCATTTATTCCTTATACCACGTTCCCTTTACGTGGTATAGGGAATAAATCAGTTTAAGTGAAAATGTTTAGTTCGTGCGGAATGAAAGGAACTACTACTATTATTGGCTAATTTAAATTTCCCGCCAGCCAGAATGTGCAATAATGTCTTACGATACGTTTTATACCTATCTCTTTCTGTTTCATATGAAGCACACATAATAATGAAAGACTAATTGATTTTAAAATTGTTATTCTGAGTTGTGCTACGAGAACGCGGTCCCACTCTGTATCATGAGATTTGTCAGTCTCTTTTTATTACTTTGTCTATGGTCTTCAATATTTCCCTCCTATAATACTAATGACATATCCATAGAAAAATAGGTTGACATAACTCAACAGTAGGTTATAAAAGACATGCAACATTGACATTTTTCATCGTTTTATCCACATTTGACTATTAGCACATTATTAGATACCTGAGAAATTACGATGCTGTCAATATGTGTTCAACACTTCTTCTTATTATTATTCTTCTTCTTCTTTTAAAAGGCGTATCGCCTGTTTAGTTCCGGTTTCCTTCGTCTAAGCGACTCTTGCGAGGTCGACTGTCAACTGTCTTGCTAACGTTTAGATGGTCGTCCAGTAGGTCTTCTGCCATGGGGTACGTTGTTGCGAATTATTATGGCCATTCTGTCGGGGCCCATTTTATTGACATGCTGGTTCCATTCTCTTCTTCTCTACCTTATCCATCTGACAACGTCGTTTGTTTGGCACTTTTCTCTTATGTCTACATTTCTCTGTCTATCCCTCAATGTGTATCCAGTTATCATTCTTAAGGTCTTCATTTCAGTAGTTCGTAGGATTCTCTTTGTTACTGATGTTTCAGCTCTGGTTTCCGCACCATATGTCATCACTGGTCGTATGCAGGTTTTGTATATTCTTGACTTACATTCTGTACTCAAATGTTTGTTTTTCCATATGGGATATTTAAGATGTCCTGATATTGCGGCAGCTTTATTGGCTTGTTTCCTTACTTCTTCTTCCAGGAATCCTGAGCTTGTAATTTTGCATCCGAGGTATTCGAATAACATTATCTGATCAATAGTTTTGTTTTTTATTACCAATTTGCACCGTAAAGGCTCCTTTGTAATGGTCATGCATTTGGTCTTATTTGTGGAAATTTCCATGTTAAGTTTTTCTGCCTGTCTGTTAAAAGCTTGTAGCATTCTTTGGAGGTCGTCCTCTGACTCTGCAATAAGTACTGCGTCATCGGCATAGCATAATATGTTTACTTTATGCATTCCCATTCGATATCCTAATCCAGTATTCTTGACGGTTTTTATTACTTGATCCATGATTATGTTGAATAACAGAGAGCTAAGACTGTCGCCTTGGCGAATACCAGTTGTAGTTCGAAGGTGCTGCGTTAAGGTAAAGTTTGTTCTTATTTGGGTTGTTGTGTTTGTGTTTAAGTCCTTGATAAGTTCTGTGAGTTCTTTCGAGACATTACTGCTTTCCAAGGTGGTGATGATGTCTTTTAGTTGGACTCTATAAAAGGCCTTTGTTAAATCTATAAAACACAGATAGGCTGGAGAGTTATATTCTAAGGATTTTTCAACTAGTTGCCTGAGTATGAATAATGCATCGGTAGTTGATCTGTTTCTTCGGAATCCTTGTTGTTCCTCGCTTATTGGCACTATTGAGGAGATTTTGTCCGCAATGATCTTAGAAGTTTTAGCGAGGTGCTCGGTAATGTTATTCCTCTATAGTTTGTTAAGTTCCTCTAAGTTGGGTCTGTTTTATCTCCTTTTTTAAAAATGGGTATTGTTATACTTTGTTTCCATTCTTCTGGTATTTTCTTATGTTGTAATATAATGTTAAACAGTTTTGTGTATTCCTCTATGATAGCCGTGCCTGCGTTTTTTATTAGCTCGTTTGGTATCTTATCTTGATTAGGAGATTTTCTATTTTTAAGTTTCCTTATTGTCTCTTCTACTTGCTTGTAAGTGATTTGCGCATGATCTTCTATATTATCTCTTTGGCTTGTCTCTTGTGCTTCCATTGGTTCATATGTTTCTGCGTATAAGTCCCTGAAATATTTTTCCCACGTATCTTCTGCAATTGTTCTTAGTTGTATTGTTTCATTTGTTTCAACGCGTATCCAGAAAACGATTCGCACGGCAACGAGAATGCCAAAATCGACTGCTTGGCGTTTCGCTAATAGAATAGGCATTTCCTTACCGCTTTGAAAGTGTAACGTTTTTATGTCAAAGTTCCAGAGTTCGGGCCCAGAGCTTATAAAACTTAATATGTCCTTTCTGGAGATCATAATTATATTGAATGATGTTTTTGATTGTTGTGCAAACAATAAGTTATCAGTTTTCTAAAATTTAAAATTGATTTAATGAATGAATAAAATATTGACTTAAAGTACCGTATGATTGAAAAAACCGGTGCGGCGGGCGTCCAGTTGGCTGGGAAAATGACGATCGATGACATTTCCTTTCATTGTTTCATGTAAAATGACAGCTATCTTCATTTCAGGGCCATCGCTGACGCCGTCTTTTGTTCGATCATGACGGTATTTTCTTAGTCCTTTGTTTGTGTGAGTTTCAAAACCATTCTAAATAATTAAATTAAAATATAATTTATTAAAAAAAAAGCAAATAATATTTTAATCAATCGAGGGTGTAAGTATTAAATAAATCCCTGAGAGGAAAAAAGACTAAAATAACATTAGAACATGATTCCTACAATATAAGCCTAATATAAGATAAAAATATGTTTCTTTAATGAAAAAGAAACATTAATGTTATATTTAATAAAAACCTAAGATACTATAAATTTACTTTTAAGACAACAAAAATGCATAGATCGTAACTACTCTGATTCTGGAAGAATCACTGCTGACTGAATCTTCTACAAATTTATAGTATCAAATCACAGGTAGATGAAGTATCCTCACATAAGATATTTCTGTACATCATTTTCTAATATGTTACTTTTTTTCGCGTTGTTACTGTTCTTTTTATGTTTTTCTGTACAGGGGTTCGGATGTTAATAGTTACCTCTTTAGCCATAGACCATATCCATATATTATTTTTTTCCTTTTTCTTGGGTATGAGGTTTTTTACAAATTGAAAGATGGAAACTTGTGACGTTTCACTCCAACATAGTGGACTTTTTTTTTCAGGCACAAATGGTGCTCATTTGACAGGAGTTCATCAATATTTAATAAAGAACACATTTTTGAAATACAAATAATTTTGAGTTCTTGTCCGTATGATCCAAGCCAAGTATTAATTCAGATCGGCATTACTTATCAATTTTACTACATCTGAAAAGTATTATAAAATAAAGTTCGTCGCAAGCAGACGCAGGTAAATCTATACAAAATTAAAAGTGTATGAATATGACAACAAAAATATTCAATAAATACGATATGTTTTGATATGTTTTTTTTTTAAATGCCTTTTGAAGTTTGAAAAATGCAAAATTTTTATACCCATTTAAGAATATCTTAAAAATAAATAAAAACTAAAACAATCACGAACTTGCTTAGAAATAAATTTAAAGTACATACCTTGTTTAACAATATCCATAGTGAAGCTTTCAATTAAATTTACATTACCGTTTTAACCATATAATATACAAGAACTACTATATGAATGTTATTCTTTTCACTGATAAGATAATGATCGCAAAATTTATTTTTAGTGAAAATATTTGCTAACAAAAATCGCTGTTTATAAAAAATAATATACAGGATGGTTGAACATTGCTATAAGTATAAAATTACATATTCAGATATTAGTAAATTTTAACTTATTTTTCGATTTTTTGTCCATGGGGCGAAGAACATGGACAGCCCATTGAAAATTCCATGGACAGCCCATATCACAAATACCGAAGTCTACAACAGAATAGACAGAGAGAGAGAATTGCTCAATATAATAAAAATAAGAAAAACATCATACTTAGGGCATATATTGAGAAATGAAAAATACTACGTCTTACAATTGATAGTTAAGGGTAAGATTGAAGGAAAGAGAGGTCTCGGCAGGAAGAAACTATCTTGGTTGAGAAACATCAGAAACTGGACACACCTAACTTTTGAAGAACTTATAAGGAAAGCCGAGAACCGTGAAGATTTTGCCAATGTGATCGCCAACCTCCACGAAAGAGACGGCACGTAAAGAAGAAGAAGACGAAGCACTGTGCGGCGTCCAGTTGGCTGGGAAATGACGATCGATGACATTTCCCATATAAATTTACATGTAAAATGACAGCTATCTTCATTTCAGGGCCATCGCTGACGCAGTCTTTTTTTCGATCATACGGTATTTTTCAGTATTCCTTTGTTTGTTAAATTAAAATATAATTCATTAAAAAAAGCAAATACTATTTTAATCAATCGTACGTGATATCTTTAAGATCAATCGTAGTTCGTAACAAATTCATTCCGCAGTAATTTCTCTTACTGGGGCTAAAGCACTTTACGTCTTCAAATAAAAACCACAATCAATTTCTGCTTAGTTACTTACAGTGAACGTTTAATCTCCACTTATCTTCCAGCGCGCTTTCTTGTATGGCCGGATTCTCCGCTCGGCAAGTCAGATACTTGCCATCGTCATCTATCACAGGTACGAAATTGAGAATGCTGAGGCTCTGGTTGTTTTGCTGAGCGAACTGTAACAAATAGAGTTTAAAGTAATGGGAAAAAAGAGTTACATATAGAACATGAAGAAATTGTAGTAATATATTTAAATTAGAAAGTAAATAATTATTTAACACTTTATAGGGCAGTACTAATTATTTTCTAGTTTGATCAAATTGACCTCAAAAATATATAAACTACCACAAACAGAGCATATTTTCTTTTTTTAACATTTTTCAAAAAGTTAACAAATAAATAAGGTAGTGGGGTGGGGGTGGTGGTCGATTTTTCAACCAGAGACTGTTAAAGCAAATAGATAATATGTATTGATCTAATGTATACAGGGTTGTTCACCACATACGACACGGAGTATTGTAGCTAAACGATTAGATTTTTACAAATTGTAAGTTTTGGGTTCGTTGAAGGATTATTAGAGCTACAATTTAAAAATATTTTTTCAAGATACAGAGTGTCCCAACTAAGTAAAAAATATTATAGTTGTATTTTTTTAAATGGAACTCCCCTGTACATTATTCTATTTTTTAGATTCTACCATTAAAATAAAAGGTAAATTTGATTAAAGGTTCATCATACTAAAACCTTACCGTTTTTTGAAATATTTTCAATTTTATGAAATTGCAATAAAAATTTTAAAGGCTTCATTTCTCCAAAGGGTATCAAAGTTTTTAATACTAAATATTTTGGTGAAGATTATTTATTGACCAGATATTGTGTTACCCAATAATAAAAATTTACTACCTTATACAGAGTGTCCAAAATGTATATTAAATAATTACTAGCTTTAAACGGCAATAGCGTGTTTAATTTAAACAAGAACACCCTATATATTTTGCATGAATCGGATGCATGATAATGTAATTGTCTATCAAATTGTATTATACCATTTTTTACCTATCTCTTCAGAGTTTTCTAAGTAGAAATGCATTTTCTTATAATTTAGACCTCATTTATCACTATACCCATGGAATATTGACATTTTAGATTATTTTTAAAGATAAAAATAAATTTTCCAAGAGTACAGATAGTAATATTGTCGATATAGCTCGCTTATTTCATAAAAAATAAAAAAAACTGTTTAAATATTTTTTGTGAGAAAAGGACCAATTAATATGATCCCAGTATTCAGACTTTCACATTAATTGACTGTTTTATGTTGATTAATAATTGCTCCAAATACTAAAAAACTGAATTTTATTGTGTGTATTAGACAGTGTGGTAAAAGTAACGCCTTATAAAATTTTATTTCATTTTTTTGAGCGAATGCTGATTTATAAAAACAGAGACGTTTATTTTTCATAATTTATTATTATATTGATTTGAGAACCAAACCCACATTTATTTAGAATACTTTATTAATTAAAACAATTTAAAAGTATGTAATTAACTAATTTTTGGTCGGAAATAATGGGTGGTATATTTAATTCGTATACTCTTTTATAAAGATTTAAATAGTTTTTTTGGTATACCAATAGGCTTGCAATATTTACCACTTGTACATTTTTTTCTTATATATATATATATATATATATATATATATATATATATATATATATATATATATATATATATATATATATATATATATATATATATATATATATATATATATCTATATCCTATATATATATATATATATATATATATATATATATATATAAACAAGGAAGTTATCGTGGAAACTTATAAAATGAAAGTTATTGGGTTAGTCCACAAGAAAGATTAGTCATGATACATGACTAAAACATGATTACCGTAGACACTCAGAGTGTTTCTGCCTGGCTTGCATCAGTACGGGAGGGGAATCAGCAACTGACCGAATAGCGATCCTGAAAGAGAAAGGAGGAGAAGCAAACGAGGCACAAGGCGCCATTTGCAGCTGGTCCCGGCAGTAGCTTTTACAATTTGGAAGCGTTACTACCATGAAACCGCCGCGGAGGCGTTCCAACACACCACCGCCGCTATCCTCGCCTTTGTGCCTCGTTTGCTTCCTTCTTTCTTTCTCTTTTTTTCAGGATCGCTAGTTCATCGTTGCTGATTCCTCCTCATTGATGAAACCAGGCAGAAAACCTGAGGCGTTTACGGTGCAGTTTCATGTTTAGCCATGTATCATGACCCTAATCTTTCTGTGGACTTCGTTTATATATAGCTATATATGCTCGTTTATATATATATATATATAGTGAATATATATATATATATATATGTTTGTATAAAAATCTATATATATATATATATATATATATGTTGCTTAAAAAATCTGAAATGTCAATATTCCATGGGTATAGTGATAAATGAGGTCTAAATTATAAGAAAATGCATTTTTCTACAAAAAGTTGCAGAATGGGTAAAAAATGGGTATAATAAAATTTGATATGACAATTAAATTGTGCCTATGATTCACGTAAAATATACAGGGTGTTCCATTTAACTTAAACACGTTATTGCCGTTTAAAGCTAGTAATTATTTAATATAAATTTTTGGACACTCTGTATAAGGTAGTAAAATTTTTATTATTGCAACACAATATTTGATCAATAAATAATCTTCAGTAAATATTTAGTATTAAAAACTTTGATACCCTTGGAGAAATGAAACATTAAAATTTTTACTGCAATTTCTTAAAATTGAAAATATTTCAAAAACGGTAATGTTTAATTGTGATAAACCTTAATCAAATTTACCTTTATTTCAATCGTAGAATCCAAAAATAGAATAATATACAGGGTGTTCCATTGAAAAAAATACAACTATGATATTTTTTACTTACTTGAGACACTCTGTATCTTGTAAAATATTTTTAAATTGTAGCTCTAATAGTCCTTCAACGAACCCAAAACTTACAATTTGTAAAAATCTAACCGTTTAGCTACAATACTCCGTGTCGTATGTGGTGAACAACCCTGTATAATGTATAAACAAAAAAGGACTCAAAATTTAACTGAGGATGCAGTCAATAATCACCACATAGGCTAATAAAATTACTTTTTCAAATTTGTCAAGCTTTTGAGAATTTTATTCCCATCATCAGGACAGTTTCTAAAATGTATAAATAAAAAAAGTATTAACACTTTAAAACTGTAGAACAGAAAAAACAACTTACGACTGAGTCAATTATCAAAAAAACATCCTCTGCACAAAAAGGCCTTAAAAACTAGCATCGTATGATTTTTGTGCAGATGATGTTTTTTTGCTAATTGACTCAGTCGTAAGTTGTTTTTTTCTGTTATACAATTTTAAAGTTTTAATGCCTTTTTTATTTATACACTAGCGTGTACCAGCGACTTCGTTCGCGTCGAATTAATCATTTGTAATGGTGATGATAAAGCAAAGCAAGAATTTCCATTAACATACAAACTGGATAAAATTTTCTCACATTTATGTCAGCATGAGAAAAAACAATACCGTTTGCCAAAAATAAGCTTTTTATGTCAAGCAGAATCGTGCTTAAGAAATTACCCAACTATTTGGTTAGGTTAGGTTAGGTTTTTAATTAGTTAGATTTTTTAAAAAAAATCAAAATATATAAAAAAAAACAAATAAATTATGCTTGTCCAAGCGTTTTCCCGAAAGACTAACAGTTTTTTAAATAACAAATATAGTAATATTTGAGGGGCGTTTTCACCCTCTTGGAATTTGAGAGGGGGAATTTGAGACCTCTCCTTATCGAACCTCTACACCCCACAGTTCCAAAAATCAGTCCATCCGTTTGCCAAAAATCAGCTTTAAACGTCAAGCAGTTTAAGCAGAATCGTGATTACTCAATGGTCATATTTTATGAAACACCCTGTATAAATTTATAAAAATTCTTAAAATATGTAAAACAACAAAATAAAATATACGTGTTTAAGAGTTTTTCCGAAAAACTCACCGGTTTTTAAATAAAAAATATTTTAATATATGAGGGATAGTTTCACCCCTTAGAATTCCGAGTTTCGAAAAATCCTTCTTATCGAACCTTTACACCCTAAAAAAGTCAATCTGTTTTCCAAATATCAGCTTTTTACGTCAAGCGCTTTAAGCAGGATCGTGATTAATCAATAACCAGATTTTTCAGAAACACCCTGTATACACATTTTTAAAAATCTTAAAATATGTAAAAAAACAAAATAAAATATACCTGTTTAAGCGTTTTTTCGGAAACTTGGCCGTTTTTTAAATAAAAAATATTGTAATATTTGAGGGGTGGTTTCACCCTCTTGGAACTGGAATTTCGAAAAATCCCTTCTTATCGAACCTCTACACCCTAGAATCAACCTGTATGCCAAAATTGAGCTTCTTACGTTGAGTGGTTTGAGTAGGATCGTGATTAATCAGTATGTCAGTCACTTAAGGATTTTATATATCAGTATAGATTTTAAAAACTGTCCTGATGATGGGAATAAAATTCTCGAAAGCTTGACAAATTTAAAAAAGTAGTTTTATTAGCCTATGTGGTGATTATTGACTGCATCCTCCCTTAAATTTTGAGTTTTTTTCTTAACTTAGTCACGACTAACCTGCTATTTAATGTATATAAACTATTTGAACTACTTGCATCCGTATCATGTATCAATTAAAGAAAAAAAAGTAAGTTCATTTTAATTATCTCTCTACTCCAAATATGTCACATCAAGTAAATCAAATTTTGTTTTTCGATAAGCTCGCATCCTGTGAGAAATGATCGAAAATATACAGGATATCCTAAGATATTATTAAATATGTTTCAATAGTTTAAAAAATATCAATAAATCAATTTAGGATTAATACTTTCCTTACAGTACTTAAAACTAAAATGTGCCGTGTCTTGGCTCATTAAATCATTACTAACAAAGTAGGCTAATAAACCGTTTAGTACGGCAACATTACCGATAAGAGGTCGATTAATCCAGGATCGGCTAATTGAAGATTTAATATACTTAAAATTGAGAATTTTGCGATGCTTTAAACGCTAATTATATAATTAATCTTTAAGCAAATTAAAATGAAGAGCTAGTTGTTGCAATATTGTTGATAATTTCTAAGGAACAAACT